GATAATCTTGTATGTTAGTATCGGGAATAGGAAGTTCAATCCTTGGTAAATCATGAGCGAGAATTCCCCTCTTCATCTGTACACGTCCCTGGCGTGTTGGAACTGAATGCCATGGTCGTGTACTCCGAATGCAATTGTCCAGACCCTGATTCGCCCTGACGGTCATGGACTACGACCGCTGAAGTCACTTGGCGTATGTGAATGATTGCGTGGCTGGCAAGGATCGAATGAAGAACTCGCTCGAATCTGCGGGAGCCCAATTAATTATCACCCTCGGTTTACGAAGGATTACTTGTCATAGATGTGCTTACGGGGAGATGAGTCCAGCGTACTCGTGCTTGTGGAAGGCCCGTAACATCAATTTGAAGTTCAGTGGAGACGAGATGGTCAATCACTCACCGGGAGTATAAGAATAATGACCACATTCACGAGGGATATAACTGAGGAGATTGTTAGTCCATCCCCAATTCCCGGACGGGGCGAGAGAATTGGTTCGTACGGAATATCAGAGTATAATAGATGACACCTGTATCGAGGCAGTTGTCAGAAATCTTAACTCGGAATTGAGGCAGCCGATAATATACCCACCGTCGCAATATACGACCTTGACAAAATTTGAGCTCCCCCCTACACGATCTAAACAAGGCAAAGATGTATCCGTAAATCGGAACTACTCGGGAGCAGGCTGAGTCTTACAAGCTCTCAATGCAGGTATAGCCATCAGAACAAAGCTAACTACGCCACAAAAAAGGAGACGTCAGCTCAAATGCTCAGCAGAAATAACGTCAGACATACCGCTATCGTAAACCATGAGGATAATCCAACAGATGTAGATATCCTTATTCTCCAGCACAAAAAAACACCTTCTCAAATCCGCATTCGCGGAAGGAAACATCAATTCCGGATCTGGTTACAGTGAGATGTTGGTATCATTCTGCATCAGTGCTGGGTGAGATGGTAGGAACTGACACTGAATCGATGTTACAAAACGAGCGTAGAAAAACATTGCAGGGACCGAGCAAGCTAGGGATACAACAAGAAGTATGATCCCAACTGTGGCGTTCCGGGCCCATATACGAGTTGCGAGAAGACCTATTCATAGTGCCGAGATACGGGTCAACGTTCGAAAAAAAAGTGAAAGCGTGAATTCGCTGACCCTCGGACAGTTGTATACCCAAAATGGAGCTCCCTGAATAAATTGATGACACCTTGTGAGTAGAGGAACTCACAACAAAGGTGGATATGAAACTCGGGCTTACATCCGCTAAGAGTATAAGCAATCGCACAGGATTTTGCACCTGGTGCTCCCATCATGACTGTGAAGTCTCTTGTCAACAATCTTTCTCTCCATGTCGCCAAAACCAGTCAAAATTCGTACTCACAGTACTGATCCACTATAACCCGATCGAGCAGTGGCATGTACCGTTGTTGAAGATACAACAAGTTGAAAAGTGTACGTCGCGTCAACTTGAACCGGAATGGCTGTTTTTTATGGCCGATGATGGACGCCCAGACGTGCGCGATTTCAGTATCGAGGTTGACAAAGATATCGTAGGTCCATAGGGCGCCTGCTGCGACTGAAGAGTGGCGTATTTTAGCTGAAGCCGCTAGGACAATGGAAGCGCAGGAACTAGGTACCGTTGAACTCCTGAGGAATTGGAACACAATAAGTTGAGACTCGAGAACCTTATGTGAGTAGTATGGTAAAGGGCAAGCTCACCCGAGCAAGCATTTCATGCTGTAATGCAATTAGAACGTTTGCATTCAGCGGGGTGGTAATACCTTTGGTCATCACGATTTAAGAAGCTGAAAATGTTGTTGAGCACGAGCTTGTGGCGTGAAGCTCAGAAGTACTTATACCGAAAGACTGAGCACTCACGATGGATGCTCTTCGGGCTATGAACTGGATATGGATCAACATAACATGGATTCTGAACAATCCATAAGTGAAGGGCAGTGTCAATTTGCGAGGAGCCTCATTTTAGCGTGTTTAAGATTTCAAGTTGGATGGTGTTTGATGTAGATGACGAAGAATGACGGATCAACTGGCTTAATTAAATGAATCACTGCAGGGGTTTATTCAGAAAGCCGTACTCTCGGAAGAGTTACTAACGTCCCGGAGAATGACAGATACAATGGACAGAGCCCCAATTGTGAATGAAAGAGGATATGGGGAGAGGAATGGTCATAGCGGGTGGCGCTGTGGCCTCACTGGATGTCTGGTTCAAATTGATAGGAAGCAATATTACGAAGTCCGACTGAACTATGAAAGAGATGTAGAATAGCCTTTCCTCTCTCTCACCACAATGCCTACTTGAGGCGAGGCGTATGGTAGTGACGGTAGGTATGATAAAGTACGGTCATATCCACATCGTCCGGCCAGTACTATCAAGTACATACTGCGGAAGACCATTGACCAGAGAAGCATTCCATTGATTCGAGAACACAATTCATTTACAACAATATCTAATTCCCAGCAATTACTGATAGAACTAACAATCAACACAAGAGCTCGAACGCCGGTATTCACTACATGGGCATTACATTCAAGGGCAGAACACGACTAAGGGGAGAAAGGGTGAGGATCCGAAGCCACATTCAGAGACTTAGACGCGTACCGTTGAACGCAATGTTCCCAGCACCACAAGCTCGAACTGGTTGGTCGCTTCCACATCCGGTCGTATCCTAAAGTACCAGATTGCAAGTAAAACACCTGTTGAAAAGGCAATGAAAAGGAACGTACACCCGGACGATATGCCTGGTTGCAGGGACAATTGACATCCTTGCACGTCACGGTCTGACAGCCTGCGGCGCCAGTCGAGATGGACTGGGTGAAGCCTTGGATGTTGGAGATGTCGTAGCTTTGAGGAGTAAATTGGTTCCCAGAGTCTATTTGGGTAGCGATGTTGTAGAGGAATGTCATTCGGGGAATCCAACTTTGAGGCCATAACTAACCCAAGTTGTATTCAAGGATGGTGCACTTCTCTCCCTTGGCTCCGCACTTTCCGTTCTGGTTGAAGATACGTCCGACCCACTGCAAAAGATTTAGGGGAGATCGGGGTTAGATTCGGACCCTCGACGAAAGGTAGCCATAACATTACCCTCGACGGAATAGTAACGGTCTTCGATTTACCAGCAGCAATCGTACCGGGTTGAGCGCCAGTAAAGTCGACGGCGTCGCCGCATCCTAAGTGAGATGAGTATGGATCCAAGGTCAAGCAAGCGCAGATTCAATCCGAATCACTTACGAGGGCTATATCCGCAACGGGTATTGGCAATAACGGCATTCACGGAGTTACCGCATTTGTTGGTGATGGTGAACTAGTGGAGGTTCAGAATCAGTTGTCAACCTCCTCCCATTGGGGTAGAAGGGGGGAGAGATGTTCATAACACACCTTGTGGTCTGCGGCAACGAGGAGGGGAGCAGTCAGAGAAACGAGGATAATGGCGAAGGACTTCATGCTAAATAATGTAACTCGACGAAGATTCAAGAGCTGAAAGACCGAGAAGATCTGGGGAAGTTGGAGGCTCATTCTAGTGATATTTATACTTCCTTTTCATCTGGATCGGGCCAGAACCTGTTTAAAATTTTAGCCCCATTGTATGAGTTCCGTGTCGCCCACTTCCTCGTACGCCACACCGACATGGATCAGTCAAGTACGATCATGATCCAAAAAACGGGACGGGCCGCTGAAATGTACAATCGACATACACACTCAACTCCTCGCGGAAGGGCGGGATCGAAACTGGTGAGCCGTGTTCGCATCCACAGTTCTTAAGATCTATCCCAGATGCATAAATAGTTTTCTATTTTTAAAGACATGAACGGATACATGAAGCTCCCTTGAATGTACAGGCTGAAAAACGAGTCGGACGAGACTGGCTTCGGCCCATCTATCCGCTATAAATACATAGTACATCTCTGGTCCCCGCCTGGACCTCGTTGTGTGCTGTAAACGCATCAAACCAGCTTTCGAGGTTACCATACAGGCGACGAGCCTAGCTTTGAATGTGTGTAGTACCTTCCCCCTTTCCCGTTTACCCGTTTGGTTCGTATATCGCTTTGCACGGGAGTTACAGTCGCACGATTAGTGACAAAAGACTATGAATCGATTGATTGGGAATGAAACGAAGGCGGGGTATGCCCCGCCCTGACTGAATGCTCGTGGCCCGATACGGAATAGTATGGGGTTGAGTGCCGCATTGTAGCTAGTAGCCGGACAGGTCTTGATAGGAGTACTCATACTGGAGGCTGAAGCTCATGGAGAAAAGAATCCCGCCGAGACCCGAGTGAAAGGAGGGATGGGCCTGGATCATGCAGTGTATCAACTTGTTATTCAACTTGAGAATCTCATGAAGATTTAGAAGACGGTCAGTCGAAAGGCAACTGAAACAACTGAGTGTAAGCTCGCCCTGGCTAGTGGGTATCCCACGTTGCAACATCTCTCGAACATTGACAGCTAATTTAGCTAGGTGGCTAGTGGTGCCACCTCTAGCCATGAAAGTTCAAGAAGCTAGAAGGGCTCGAGTGGGAAACACAATTGTGAAGCACTGACACGAGGTTCTCAAATCACGCGAGAGGATTGATATCCGATGGGCAATAGGCTTGAACGAGCGGTGTTGATTTGAGAGTGGGCTCTCAACATAGTACACCTTTGGCGGCCCCCCTGAAAGTGTATGGCTGGGGTAAGGAACTGTTATTTGTGGCACTGCAACCTGACTGGATGACGGGTTTGAATTGAGGCACGGAGCGTACTGCAAAGTCCGACTAAGCTATAAAAAGACAATTATAGTACATGGCACTCAACGCTACAGCTATTGCTGTATAGTACGAATTGAAAGGAATGGGAGACATTGACCGCAATCCCACTTCTTCAAAGATGGTGAATACTTTCCCCCATGCCCAGCCCAGGCCGCGTGGGGAAGGGCGTTTTCAGCAGATTTCAAGCGTCCAAAACGTCGAGGGCGGTTTGAAATCGAGCACTTGAGGGACCAAAAAATGGACACTGTGGGATTTGAACCCACGACCTCACGCATTCTTGAGGCAGATATACCATTGCGAAGCGTGCGCGCTACCCCTGTGCCAAGTGCCCGATAAACTGAAATGGAGAACAACTCTGTACAACCTACAACAGGCCTACGTTCCGATTACACTTGCTATTGCGGTATGAGTGCAGCCAACTACTGACAAGATGATGTCCGCATATGAGAAACTACATAACGCTGTCTCGCGCTCACCAAATCTACACCGAACTCCAGCGCGCAAAGGTGTATGGTTACGTCAATTAGATTCGGTGGAAACGGAACAGCCCAAATACCAAGAACTTCTCATTGATAATACTCCACATCGAGAATTCCAGTGCTGGTGTCCTGCCTCCCATCGGCGCTATGAAGCCGAACAGCCCCGTCAGGGTCCAAGCGATCAATGATATATAGATGAGCGCATATCCTTCCCTTCAGACTTTTACCTCCCTAATACTACCATGTCCGCCGCTGTCACTGCCGCCGCTCTCGACATCTTGTACCCTCGACAAAATACACCGTCGCGGCCCAACAATAACGACTTCAACAATGCTCGTAACACCGCGAAGGGAATCTCTGTCGCCATCATTGTCGTCATTGTCATTGCTGTCGTTGCAACGATAGGTGGCTCAATTCTAGCTATATTCTGTTTCATGCGACACCGGAGAAAGCAGAGAGAAGTTAGGGACAAATTCGGAGGAGGCATAGGAGCGTTTAACTATCCGCCATCTCAATCACTCAACACTGCTGGTGGTGTCGGAGATGCCAATACTGGCAACCAAGGGGGATTCACCGGTACGTCGTTAATTTGAGTTTCTCGCTGGAATACCGACCCATATTCGTTCGACAGATCCACCTGGTGCTAATCCATACGGATACAATAACTATAACCAGGGTCCTGCGAGCCAACCGCCAGGCTATTCTGAAGTATCGCAGGGTGTGAACCCTCCTGCAGCGACTCATACGACCCCCGGCCACTATTAAGTGCAAACATCATGTATTAATGTGAGCCTCCGACTTGGATTCTCAGGGTTTCGTGTTTCTAACGAGTGATTGAAGGTCAAAATCACCCCGTTATTCGCAACGAACGCTCACGATCTCTATCTTACCCGACTGGACAATTCATACCCGTCATCTCAGCGTGCTCGAATACCTATCGTACTTTGTATCATTATCTTGAACTCGTATCCCATTCCTCAAAGAACACCAATTCATAGCCGTTCTTACAGGCCTTCCCTTCGCGAACATGGCATCTTGGAGCGGTGACGATGAACTATCCCTTCTCTTCGTGCAATCAACGACGTCACCAATGTCATTGGAGGAGTTACCGCTCACCTTCCCGTAGCCATCCCGCATCTTTTGACTTGGGACCTATTCGGAATCTCAATTGACTGTACGACTTATGACGAAAGTTTCTATATGAGAACCGCATGGTTGTGTTCTCCAAATGTCTACAGCACTTCCTTTTGTGAGGATCTATTACTCTCATGGTAATTCTTCCCGCTGCGTAGATTGACCTCATAGTACCCTCATACCCGAGATGGAGTTGATTCGTCGAGAGGTGTATACAATCGTACTCACAGGTCCATCACAGGTTCAAGACCCGAGCTTAAGGCCTTTCCTGTGATTAGCCGACCCCCGAGCGGAAGGGCTCTTCATTATACACTGGGATCAGGTTACTGATGAGAATCGAGCAGGTTGTCCCTTCGCCATAACAGAGAGCAACACTGCGAAGATGAACAATGGCATAGGAGTACGGATTTTGAGCCCACAAAACTTGATGCTTGATCACGGTCACCGGTGGCGCAATGCCAAGATGGACTGGATGGACCGAAAGCCCGCGTGAAGTTTTCCGCACGAATCTTTTTTCGAAGTTCGACCTCAACCATGACGTCTGTCAGCATCTTGGAACCCAGGCCGGTTCTATTCCTCTTTACATGAGCACGTCCCGTGGATCGGTCTATTAAGGGCATAAATTCTCCGTGTCGCTGACAACAAACCAGGCTTTGAGATGCTTTCGACGTCTGAATCTTCCCAGTCTCTCGAGTGGCCCTCCGATTCACCAGGTAGTTGAAGGTCCAAAGACATTTCATGAAGTGTCGAAACATCCGATACCGCTCTCGAGTGCGGAACTTCAGTCGGTAGTCTATATGAATATCCTTCGAACCATAATCCAAACCCTCCCAAAATTTTGGTTTTTGGGATTGACGGGTAAAGCCAGATAGCCGCAGCTCCGGGTCCAAGTTGAGTAAGACCTTGGCACCGTTCAGAGCCAAGGTGGGAGGAATTACATGTACAGTAGACAGTCGTGGTTTGACAAAGGTACGCTAAAGGAGACGGTTATATTATCACTATGATTTAGTAACAATATTCCGACTACCGGTACGAACAAGTCTTTATAAATATACTGATTGAATTCCAACTTTATAAGCAAAGAAGGTGAGTAGTAAACGAATGTTGCCTTGTATTTCCCCCTATAGAAACGAGCGACATGGGGAACAAGTCACAGAACGGGTATACGGAGACTCGGGCGTCTAATTCGAACACCCTGAGAACTCCTCGTAGGCTGGGCAAAGACCGCTCCAAGCAGCTGAGCGAAAAGGAGAGGAAACGTCATAATCAGACCGCGACATGGCTTTCTTACTTTTGGAACAATCGCTCACCGGCACCAGGCGGGTTCTGATCCTGCTGTATCCCGGCGATGTCTTCGGCCATCACAACAGCCAGGCCCCTGTGAACAAACATCAGAAAGGTCTCGAGTAGCAAGATATTGGTCCTCAAACTCACGCTTTTTAATGACGAGCAATATGGCTGTAGTAGAAATGGAGTCAGAGAGGCATTCTCGATCACACTGAAAGCGGGACCTCACCAATGCATGCTCCAAGCACCAGTGTTCTCGGTTCTGAATCGGAAAGTCACATTGTCGCCGGGAGTTCCAATGGGCAAACTCGGACCCAAAGGTGCCATAATGTTGATTTTACATAGCTCAAAGGCAATCTAGAAATGAGTTTCCTCGGCTGTATAGCTTTTATATTCCAGCCAAAAAGCTCTTTGTCCAGTTCAATTGCAACCCACTCAAGCCCGAGCGATATGACAGTATTATAGGGAAGGTAACGGTTTAAGAGTAATTTTTAGACGAGAAACTTGCTTCAGACCGATTAAATAGGAATAACAAACTCGAGACTCACCATGGAGCAAACGCTTACTGGATACCGATTATCCTGGCGCAACAAAGCAGGGACGCATTTACCCTCAATTAAGCGCCGCATAAAATATCTCCCTAAAAGCAACAATGTCCACAAACCGATGCCCAAGCGGAAGTAAATCCCAGTGCGCTCCAAGTGACAAGCCGCCAAAGGCTGTAGGTAGAAATCAAGGTGGTCTCTTGATAGAGAACCGTGAGCTTCGCCTGAGATCGGAGAAGTTGTATCCATATTGAATCTTCGCCCCACCTAACCAACCGACCGAACGCCCGGCCCGTATATTGGAGGCCATGTTCATCGCAACAGAATACATTGACTCCTAGGTGCTGCGGAAGTCTGAGAGCGATACGGCGCGTCATCCACGACACTGACGGCGCTGGGGTTGCAGGCTCGTCTTGAACGGAGTTTCTATATTCGGACCTCTTCGACCTCTTCAGACTCTCCACAACGGCAATGGCCTTCCGACGAAACAGGAAGATTGTCATTTGTGCAGAGACGGCACGTAATACCATTCATCTCTGGGTGTTTCAGCAGCAGTTTTCTACTGGGAAGTCCAAGAAAAAGTCTCCTAAGTTGGTGAGGCGTTCGTAAAGATCGCAGATTTGTGAATTATTTTGCCCGAATGATCGGGGTCGAGCGAGTAAGATAAGCCTGAAATCATAACACTCACTTGAAATCACTTCGATGGACCTTTCAAGTTTCATTTTTCCAGATCATCAAGCTTTGGTACTGCGTATGCCCAATAAGTTATGTATGCAACTTGAAGCGGTCACTGAAGCGAAATAGAGAGGTTGTCAATTCCTCTTCAAAACAGTCATACACTTGTCAAAAGAAACCGGAACTCGAAGGTCAAAACGCCTCCTCGTCAATGATATCCCATCCGTCCTCATCAACCTCCAGAGCACGATCCTTCCGTGCTATTTTCCCGTTGCCAACGCCCCGCGATTTTGCTAACGGGGCTCGAGGTCTCGTAGTCGTCATGGCCTGCATTAGCTGTGCAAAGTCAAGCTGGAAGCCAGGAGGCGTAGGTGCCGCTAGGATGGGTTGTGTCTCATGAGATCTCCTATCGGAAGTAGGCCTTCATTGGTATCGCGAGAAAACCAAGGAAGAACGAACGAACATACCTCCCCAATTCAGCACTACAACAAACATTCCATAGATTACTTAGTACATCCCCTGCATGAGCGAGGGGGACGTCTACGCTCTGGGTGTAAGCCAGGTAGCAGACGTTGTACAGAAGCATGGCAAATGCAGTCGTAAACGTTTGCTGTGGTTCGGGGCTCGGTAAAATATAGGAATCCGACATCAACCGGGCATCTGAGGACGCCGAAGGGCTGGGAGGGAGGCTCGCAGTTTGCGGGTTGGCAGAAAGATGAAGAGGTTGTTTAACATTCCATCTGGGAGGTGAGAACTGTGGTCAGCGAGAGTTTGGAGTCACCAGGAGAGACAAATACGACTGACTTTGTCCAACCCCCGTGTTCGCCACCATAGATGGCACCAATTGAAGGTATTCCGACACCTATCTTGCCACCGCCCCAAAGAACCTCAAAAGGTAGCTTAATACCCAGATAGAAGGTCAACAGCGAAAGGAAATGAACGGTGTAAGTCACTACGGCGTTGATATGGTCCGGTGGATATCCTATTGTGACAGAGCTTGTCAATCTGAGGACCAAAGCCGAGGGGAGACCTAGCGTACTTCGGATGTCTCCTGGAACCGGTAGGATTAGGTCCCCAATCGTCCACTCTCCTTTCGTCCCTGGTCTACCACCCACAGGCGGTCTGCCACCAACTTCGACGACGTTAAACACCTCCACTAGTTCTTGGACCAAGCCAGATCGAGCTCGGGCAATATTGGCTGAGAGAGCCGC